GAGGGGGAAGGGAAGATGGAGGGAGGGGGACTGGGAGGGGGAAAGGGGAGAAGGTGGCGGTCTTCTCTGTAGAGCAGGAGCCAGTTCAAAGACCTTTTCCCAATATCCTACTGACATACTTCTAGAAACGAATCATCTAGACAGGTTTGAAATACTACAAAGATTACGGTTACTAAACAGAGGGAGAGGCTTCCCACAAATGGATGTTTCTAATTCTATCACAATTATCTTATTTCTCTTCCCTGCCATTTATATTTTTTCAGAACTCACTTCAGAGATCCTTACCCTAACCATATGAGCCAGCCTTTATATATTTTTAACTAACACATCTACATGGCCTGGTAGAACTCTTTCCCACTTAAAACACCTAACTGTGGAGAAATGAAACATCCCTGGACTTCTCAGTGCTCCTGCCTCCAGAGCCTCTAGAATGTATATGACATAAAGAAGGGAACATCTGCTTCCATGTCCTCCAGAAACAGTCTACTCTACAGCTCCCAGGAGAATTAGATCTGTGGTCATTTATCTTGTTAATTGTTCTGATTCAAAATAATAATAAAACTGCATGTCTTCTCAAGAGGGCCCAACTGTTATATAATGGGCTAGGTCCCTCCTTAAGGGGGCCAGGTGCTCTAACTCCCTGGATGTTACCTGCCAAAACAGATAAAGCCCCCAAACTTGGAGATGTCTCAAGGTCATAAAAGCCAAGACATGGGAGACTATCTGGCTCTAACTAGTCAGGGGCACTGACCTCTTTTCCCTTAGATTGTCAAATAAAAATATGACAACAGCCAACAATATCCATCCTGTGTCAATTAATCAAAATTATACTTTTTTTGGTCAGATAGGCAAAAATATAACGTTTTTTGGCATGCCAGAGAACTTTAGTAATTCGTTTCTGTGCCATGAGAAGGGAAAGACTGCAAATCGCGGGTATGCCCTAATCTAACCATCCTGTGTTGGGCCAGCTCTTCTGTGAGCTGCATCTTCTCAGGACTGAACAGGAAGAGAAAGCCTCCTCCACGGAGCTGTGCTGCACAAGCTGCTTAGTTTGGATTTTTTGTAAACCAATAATGCTTACTCATTTCAATTCTTGGTAATTAATAAAACTTTTATATTAATTGATTCCAGAACTATTTGTTGAATGTCAACCATGTGCAAATGACAGTCATTTATTTCAGGATAAGGCAGGGTTGGAGGTCAGGCAGCTAGGTTTTTAAATCATCTTGCCTGATCTCAACGTTTTCCCATAAGCTTTTCTCCTCAAAATGTCCTTGTCACCCCATCCCTTACTTTCAACTTCTTTTCCTACCTAAATAGGTAAAAACCTTATACCTCATCCCTCTTAGGACTGAAAACAGATCAGTAGTTCTTTTCTTCTCCTGTTGTAAAAATTTACTCAGTTTTAAAAGTTTCTCCAAAATGCCTCCACCTACCAACATCCAACCATATGGGTCACAGAATATTAGTGCTTCCGAGGGTCTGCATGTGTGTGCCCCTCTTCCCCCATTCATATGTTGAAATCCTAACCCTTAATGTGACGTTATTACGAGGCAGAGCAGAGGTTCGGGAAGTGACTAGGTCAGGAGGGTGGAGCCCTCAGGAATGGGATTAGTGTCCTTATAAAATAGAGCTCTGGTGTCCCGTCTGCTACGTGAGGACAGAGAGAGAAGACAGCTGTCGATGAACTAGGAAGTGGGCTCTCAACAGACACAATGTGCTGGCCCCTTGATCTTGGACTCCCCAACTTCCAGGACTGTGAGAAATAAGTGTGTCCTGTTCATGAGCCACTTAGTCTATGGCATTCTTTCTAGCAGCCCCAAAGGGCTGAGACAGTGCTGGAAGGTGTGACAGCACCATCCCACCAATATCCTCACTGTCCTTTGTGCAAAGCTGAGGTCCAGGCAGCCCAGTGAAGTCTGTCTGCATGACCAGAGCCCACCTACTTCTACACGTGAGACAGGGATTTCAGCTCAGACTCTGGCTCTGTGCAGCTGAATCACACAACCTCCCAGTAAGATGTACTCAATGCGGCTCTACACATTTTAGTCCCTCAGATACCTAGAATCAATCTGGCAGTTCCCAAATATGATGCTGATTTTGACAATAAAAATGAAAAGTAAAAACAGACACACAAGCAGCTAAATGTCCTCTTATGACATCATTTTAAAGAGAACGAGATTCCTTTTTAACATATAAGGAAACAATCACATAAATCACTTTGTCCTCAGATAAAACATTAACAGAAAAAATTAGAGAGAAGATAACCTACTTCAGTTAACTTTTAATATAACTTTCTCTAATATAGCATATATGCTTTAAAAACGAACTAGGGTGTTGATTTCTAGACAACTCATGCCCAAAATACACTTGGTATACAAGACTGAAATTATTAATAACTTTTCATGAGCCCATCTCACATTTCCTGAGGCACCTGCTGCCATGGTACCTGGGTGTTCTGAAGGGGTAGATTGGGGATGACACTTCACAGATGGAGAAGAACTATGTTATGACATAAAGGACAGTTTACACAGGAGGGTTATTTTCAGAACTCTTTGGGGACTGACTGCACATAGCAACTGACTAAGGGTATATGGATTTGTGTTGCCGCTGGTGGATTGCATTTCTGTCTCCTGTTGACACAGATCAGACCAGTACACCTCTTCTTGGCATCCTCCATCTACGGGCACTGACTTGTGACTAAAAGGTGTTCCACAGGCACCAAAAGTGATGTGGGCTCCTTTATAGTCACATTTTACTCTTACAGAACTTGCCACACACACCTGACAACATGAGAGTCCAAAGAGGGCTGACGTCAGTTACTGAGCTTTAAGCTCCATTACCTGTAATAATCAGGAGGTTGATCTATTTAGAAAATAGGCCCAAACATAATGTGTTAGAACACAACTGCTCTTTCATGTTATTTCCTGATACCAGAGAGGAAGGCTATCCCTCCACAGAGCCTTCCTTGCTCCCACAGAAACCATCGGTCCCTTACAGCTTCTATAGCACTAAACCTATAACTTTCCACTACATTTTAAGCCATTTTGGTAAATGCCTTTTAGCTTCTACTACATTGTAAGTTCCTTGGAGCAGGATCTCAGGCTGACCTTGGTATTCCCCAGAGCACCAAGCACACGGATGCTGACACCCATGTACCAGATGATCGGGGTAGAGGAGGAGGGCGGGAAGGGAGAGGGGAGAGGGAAAGAGAAGGGGGAGGAGGAGGACAGGGGAGGAGGAGGACAGGGGAGGGAGAAAGGGGAGAGAGATGGGGGGAAGGGAAAGCAGCAGGAAGGGCAGCAGGAAGAGCGGTGGAGGGGGGAGAGGCGGCTTGAGCACGGTAAGAAGGGAAGAGGAGGGTGGGTGAGAAGACCGAGCAAGGGCACTTTGTTAGGAAAATGCTCTTCTGCCCGCCTCCCTACTTCCTGGCCTGTCCCAGTCACTGGCCCTTTCTG